ACGATGCTGATGTAGGGGAGTATAACCAAATTCCGTATAATCATATCGGTCACTATGACAAACACATAGGTACACAGCACATTTTCTTCCAGTTATGCCGTGAACTGTAGGTGTAGTAGTAAAGATGATATGTGAGAGTGAGACATGTATTGTAGGAGAAGGATGAAATAATTGCGGTGTGGCGAGGTGATGAATGGAGTTAACGAAGTTGGCACAGATCTGAGATGCAAGACTTACTTAGAGAGTCTAACTCTCCTTCGCCCGGCTCCGGTCTACTACACCTTTCAGGTAAGCTTACCCAGCCTGGACTGCTTAACATTTGCCCACACATAGCTAGAAACAGTGGCGAATCAGATAAGAACCATGTCTAATTAAGTTCCTAAAATGGATTGGGGTTTGCTTCAGATCATCAAGAAGCGTGAGAAAGAAAGGCGCTTGTACATTGGGTAGGTAGGAATGTGAAGTCGCCCCAGTGGCTATCAGAGGTAAGTTACAGGCGGTCGACGCGGGGTTAGGCCCCCACACATTCACATAAGCCAAGCAGAAACATCGTCGGCCGGCTCCGTTCCGACCCATTCATTATCCCTCACATGACAACCGCTTAGAAAGATATTGCTGCTTAACTCATCATCTCTATCTACATTCAAGGCTCATAGTGCGTCCAGTTTCGTTACCTACCTACCTATGTCTATTAAACAATGTTGAATGGTTTTCATACCGCATCAACTCCCAAATATATATTTACTTCCAGTAATATATGTATATAGTTGGTAGTTGAAACTTGCAGAGTCATAGTATGCCTATACTGCTTAATCTCTTCTCAAGCATATGTATCTGCAGGAGCTAAAGTTCGAGACCAAAGCTCCATTGTCCTGGACACCGGGATTTCACTGCGTCTGAGCATGGAACTTTGAGTTTGTACAATGTTGCACTTACACGACATCAATCTTTGAACTGCCGAGACTCATGATTGTCTCACGCACTCTCTTTAGAATGTAGTGAGCATCAGACTTTCCGCTTCTATATCACTTCGACTTCAAAATATTAACACCAGAGTAAGAGCTAGGAATAATAGCTGAAGCGCCAAGACACGAACGATCGCGGCTCAGATAAACCATGGCCCGATATCGCTTTGGCATGTTACCAGCTCGTTGGTCCAGGGGTAGGCCCATTCTCCAAGCTTGTCAATTAAGTGAGGTTACATCACAGCTGATTGAGTACAACAAGGAGAATGAGACTGCTGCAGGCGGACGGACAGGTCCCCTGCAAGTAGGTAGAAACGTGTGGTCTCGCCTTATTTCAGCCGCTAGGCTAGATCATGATGGAATGGAAACCGACTATCTGCCGAACATATATACCAAGGTGGTAGCCCCGGCTGTTCCTACCGGTTGAGCAAGTCTCGGCTGTTTTGCGTCCACTTGTGCGGCAACCCCTCACCTTATTATACCCATGATTATAACGTGGGAGATGCGGGGAGGATGGCGGATGGCGGATCTGACATCTGAATTGCTTTCTTGAAATGTCGCATACTAGTCGGATTATGCTCATTTTGTTACCACTTCACCCTCTACGTCTTGTATAAGCCTCACAAAGCCAGCATGCCTGCCGCGGTGTCAAACGGCGATTCGGCTCTCGCCTTTTACAACATCATCGATGGCAAACAGAGGGGTTCGGAAGTCAACGAGCAAGTGGTCGATCCACGGACGGAAGAGTTACTCTGGGATGTCCCCGTAGCCTCAGCTCAGGACCTCGATGACGCCGTCGACGCAGCCAACCGCGCCTTCAAGACCTGGAAATATGCCTCGCAAGCCGAGCGTCACAAGGTCCTCCAGAACGTCGCCGACTGTCTTCGTGCGAATGTTGATTCTCTATCGCATATTCAGATGAAAGAGACGGGCAAGTCGTTGGTCATGGCGAAAGCCGATGTCGAGGTCTCGGCTCTACACTTTGAGTATTACAGTACGTAGCCCTAGAGTCTCAGCTTATAGTCTCTGCACAGGAGCGATGGTTAGCTAAACGAATATTTAGAGGGCGTAACTCTCGAAGACGATGTGCAGTACGAAGACGACACCGTCAAAATTATAGGGACTTATGTGCCCATTGGCGTCTTAGCAGCCATCTCGCCGTGGAATTTTCCAATGATACTGAGCAGCGTGAAAGTAGTGTCTGCTCTAGCCACAGGCAACTGCGTGATAATCAAGCCGTCGCCCTTCACACCGTATTCGATCCTCAAGTTCTGCGAGCTCGCACAGTCCGTCCTGCCACCAGGCGTCTTCCAAGCGCTGAGCGGCGGCGCAGACCTCGGTGAGCGCATGACGCTGCACCCGGACATCCATCACATCAGCTTCACAGGCACTGTGGCCGTGGGTCAGCGTATTCTCCGGAACTGCGCCAAGACAATGAAGAAGGTGGTCCTCGAGCTGGCCGGCAACAACGCCGCCATCATCTGCGAGGACGCGGACCTCGAGCAAGTCGTTCCGAGCGTGGCGAGCGGGTGTTTCTTCCACGGCGGCCAAGTCTGCGTGGCCTCGAAGCGAGTCTATGTCCACGAATCTCTGTATGACAGGTTCATGGAGCTTTTCGTTGAAGAGGCGAAGAAATACACGCCAAGCAATATCCTGTACTCGCCACTCAGCAACCGGCCAAATTACGAGCGGGCGAAATCCTTTCTTGACGACTGCAAGAAAAATAACCACAATATCGTCGCTGGTGGCGAGGTCAAGAGCGATGAGAAGGGGTTCTGGCTCTCGCCTACGATTGTGGCGAAGCCGCCTGAGGACTCACTGCTTGTGCAAGAGGAGCAGTTTGGTAAGTATACACCGCGCATCCCCTTACCATAAAGGGGTTTATCATTTCTGTCTTCCCCTTCTCCGTTCAAGGGGAGAACCGATACGTACACGAACTAGGCTAATACCAATACTACCCCAGCGCCCATCGCACCGGTCTTGACCTGGTCAGACGAAGACGATGTAATCGCGCGCGCCAACCTTGATAATTCCGGGCTTGGCGCCTCCTTATACACGCCAGACCTAGCAAAGGCGCGCCGCATCGCCCAGAGACTTGAATCCGGTTCTGTATGGATCAACCGGTTCGAGCGCCCACACTACGGAGCGTATTTCAGCGGTTGGAAGCTGAGTGGGTTCGGTGGCGAACTCGGAAAGCACGGCTTGTACAATTATTGCCAGTTGCAATGCTTACATTTCCACAAGTAAGCGTACCGAAATTGTCGGTTGTCGGAAGGATTGTCCATATAGATAGTGATTGGATGTGAAGAGGAGCATCTACGGCACGTATATAACCAGTTAGACTAGTTGTAAACATACAAGTATATATGGCTAGATCCTAAAATTCAATAAGCGCATCCATCTCTTTGTGTTTCAGCTATCTTGCCATGAAAGATGCGTTGACATGCCAAGTTATAAGCAGCAATAAGGCATACCGCGCGATTGCACCTGCATAGTATGCGTGAAGTTGGCACCGGCCTTCGAGGTGTACAGATGCGTCTTCATGATGAACATTTTTATATGGGAAATAAGATGCAATAACTACAACCGAAGGCTATGTTTCAACAACAACTTAGTACTCAAGAGAAAAAAATTGCAAGATAAAGGCACCCCTGGTATGGTCCTGCGCATTTGGGATGGTAGTTACCTGCTGATCATGGGAACGGGCTCGAACAGGGATTCCAGTTGAAAAGAATCGATTAAACTTGGTGTAATGTAATGAACACAATCGCCGTACTTACGAAGTTTCATTCTTATGCAAAGTCCTTACGAACTCACCGAGACTGAAGCTAAGATGCATATCGAGCTCGTGGCCTATTACCGGCTCTTGAAGATCCACGGCCAGAATGAGAGCATGTACAAACACCTGACTACAAAAGTGTAAAAGGGCGACGGCACCGAGTCCTTCCTCATCAACCCATTCGATTTAAAATACAGCGAGATCACAGCCAGCAGTCTCATCAAGGTCGGCGCCAGCAGGTTGATCAAAGATGTGGGTGTGACGGGGAACGTGTTCAGCATCAATGATGTCAGGTTCGTTATCCATAGCGCCCGATGATTCAGTACGCGAACTGACTGACTGTTTATTTATAATAAACGTTTTTATCACCTTATCATGGTATGCAACAACAAGTTTTCCTGACTCTTTGATGTTGAAATAGTCATGCGCGCGCCGCCTGAAGAGCGTCATTGCACTGCCATTACCCCTCCGCAGCATGTGTATCTGCCACAAAGCACGGCTTCCTCGGGCTCGCGCAAACGGGCCTATCGCCTGTCACGACTACCACGGCACTGTGGTGGGCCAAGGCGAGCAGAAGAGTCTAGTCCAAACCCTCGGGGACAAGATTATTCTGTTCCCATACAACCACGGCGTCATCACGAGTGGGGAGTCCGTAGGTGCTGTATGGTACCTGGTGTATTAGCTACTCTACGCGACCGACCGCAATCGCATGCGGCGGCACACGCATTCGGTAGTCCGGAGAACTTGAATATCCCGTCAGAGGAGACTGCTGCCAATATGTTTGATGTTATGCAGAAGAAGGACTTTTCTAGAGCTTAGTATGGTGTTATGCTTATATGAGGTGGCTGAATTCCAAGGACGACTCTTATCGCAACTAATAACGTCATGGATGTATGAGAGTCGCGATCTGTCTGTATCCTATTATCCGTTGCCTTCTTCGCTGTAGTAAATAATTAAATATAGTGATGATAATATGGACGATCAGTCCTTGGGTCGCTTTCCGCTATATTGTTGTCATTGTCGTACGTAACGCCAGGGGCCAGTCACCGTATGTTATACACTACAGGTGTAGCTGCTTCAGCTAGAGCGTGCCAAGCTGCCAGCATTACGTACGAAAATCTAACATCAACTAACCCAACAAACCTCTACCAAGTCCAACGATAGAAGCTACAATCCGTTTGCACGCTTTACTTTCCAACACGAACAAAAGCGAAGAAAAAAATACGGGAAAAAGTGAATGCTTCAACGTTTAATGACTCCGAATCGGGGAATCGAACCCCGGGCCTGACGGCGCCTTTTCCCTTATGAAGGGATTGAGAGCGTCAAATGTTAACCCCTACACCAATTCGGATTTTTAACGCAATTGCCCACTAGCGGAATCGAACCGCTGATCTTGTCATGACACCTAGAGGGAAGTACTAGTGACACGCTATACCACTTAGCCAAGCGGGCTGTTTGATGAATTTTCGTTTGCAATAACCGACTCTATGCATAGTGCAGCAGTGGATGAGATTAGCATTTGGGGGATTCTAGTTTAAATCATATAAGAGTTTCAAAAAGTTATTGATGATTGAAGATTCTAGAGGTCATGCATTTAATAGTGACGATGTATGTGTCTATGTAAAGTAATAGCGTTGACACCGTCAAATGCCACGAGCATGGCTTGACGAAAATACTCTCTATCAAAAGCTTTTTTCCAATGGCTTTCTATATCGGCCCTGTCTTGGTAATCTACTCCCTTCTCATCTTCCATCTAACTCCCACGCGCAGCGCAGTGCAGCCCAACAGCTTAAGCCTAAGCCTCTATATACTTCTTTAAGCCCCTCAACCTCTCCTTCGCCGTTTCGAGGACCTCATCCTCCTTGCAGACCGCAAAGCGCATATAGTCCTCAGCGATCCATGTATTAGGATCGGTGTAGAACTCGGTGGGTGGGATAGCCGCGACGCCGACCTCATGAATCAAAAACCAGGCGAGCTTGAAGTCCCGCGGCCGGCTCGCGACGTGCGGCGGGAACGGGTAGTCCGCCGGCAGCTTGACCTTCGCCATGTTCACCATGACGAAGTAGCCGCCCTCTGGGTCCGTGTAGGGGAGTCCCAGCTCGTCCCAGATCGCGTTGAACCGCGTTATCTTCGCCTTCATGTCGTCTACCGACGTCTTCCAGAACCCTTCTGATTCGGCTTGTTCGAAACCTGAGTTTTGGAAATTAGTTTGTAATGCCGAAGAGTAAAATGGGTACATAGGCAGAAAATTACCAACGGCACAAGCTTCTTGTAGTGGTGATACAGAAGAGTAGCAAATGCGGGTGTGAGCTGCGGACACGTATTGGATCAGATGTGCCGGTCCCATCAGCCAGCCTAGGTATTTTGTCAGTTTCCAGTGTCGCTTTTATTGCACTAGATGCCGAAAATCTTGGTCGATATATATGTCGGAGACTTACCAACACGCCATCCCGTAGCGTAGAAGTTTTTGCCAGCCGAGCCAACTGTGATCGTCAAGTTCTCAATCTCCGGAGACAGCGTCGCAATTCTCGTGAAGGGCACATAGAACAACCGATCGTAGACCTCATCAGAGAGAATGATGATTTCATGCTTGACACAAAGATCTCCTATGCGCTGGAGCTCTCCCTTGGAAAAGACCTTGCCGACGGGGTTGTCTGTCACGTCATAATAAGCGATCTGTCTTTTAAATAAATGTTCAGCTGTGAAGTGTGACTAACGAGGCGTATTAAGGACGATCATCTTCGTCTTGGGCGTGATAGCTTTCTCCAACTGCTCGAAATCGACAGTCCATTCAGCAGACGAGGAAGTCCGCGTCGCCCCATCTTTGGGAGGGCTCATGGGCACGTAGACGATTTTACCGCCAGGCATCTCGATGTTGCTGATATACCTAGGCACAGTCCAATCAGCAGGGGTGAAGCCCTCACTTATAAGTCTGTATACACTGAGCTGAACATACTGGTCAAAAAAGGGCTCAAAGATAATGACCTCATCACCCGGCTCGATGAACGCCATAAAGGCGCTGAGCATGCCCTCGTTAGCACCAGTCGTGATGGTGATCTCAGTGTCTGGGTTAAGCTTGCGTCCCCAGAACGGCGCGTAGGCGTCGGAGATAGCCTTCTTTAGCCGCGGCCGCCCCTTGGTCGGGCTGTACTGGTTGCAATCCACGCGGTCCAGGGCCGACTTGGCTGCATTGAGGATGAACTCAGGTGGGTTATACCCGAAGAAACCCTGGCCCATGTTCACGATGGGCTGGACGGGCGAGGCCGCCGCGGCCTCGTTGATGATAGACCTATGGTTTCTGTCAGCATATCTGCATTCGGCATGACATGAGATATAACATAAGTGTCTCACCAGACATCCTGTCTCTGGCTAGCCACTCGGGCAGCGGGCTTCAGCTTCGCCGGGAGTTGGGCCGCCATGGGAGCATGAAATCTGCGGTATACTACCGAGTGTTGCTGTATTGTTGGAGATAAGTGTGGTATCTTGCCAAGTAAATTTATAGAACAGGACTTTAAGCCAAAAAGACCCATTTAAGCTGCCACTTATCAAGTCTCTCAAGTCTGACTCAACTTGTTGACCTTTAAAGTCTAATAAGTCCACGAACCAACCCCCACTTCATTAATATCGTTCTCTCTTCCGTGCTGTCTTCTCTTGTTTGACTGATTTCTCAGACCGGGAACAACAGAAGCTTCCCTCCTAAAACCGTAGTTCGTGACACAGCTTTCCGGGATCGGACTTGAGAATTAGTGGCAGGCAAACGCGAGACACAATAAAAGCACGTCATTTGCTGGGTAGTGCTTGTAGGTGACGCTGCTAAACGGGTAGACTAGGGTACGACAAATTGGGCTTAGCGCCCTCGCCGCCCAAGCTCACCACATCTTCAGTCAGGTGACCAAGCGCATACATTTATACCTGAATGGATCTGTCACGTGTCTGCATATACAAGGAACTAAACCACATTAGTCATCCACGCGGAAGGCCTAATCTAGCTGCGAGGCACGAACCACGTTACCTCCAACATGCCGCGCCAGCAGTGCTGTCGGGAACATGTTCGTCCAGAACGTGTCATCTTTTCCGAACGAGACTTGCTGCTTCACAGCGTCAGAGTGGTAGCCCTACCGCGCGAACATGGTCAGCGTGTGGTAGAAGATATACGATCCGCCCTGCACGCCTTAGTTACACCAAGGTACGCCATACCGTATCTTGTTGAGCGGGATCGAGAATGCTTGCCCGCCGCAGTAGTCGACTACATCGATGAGCATTCTTCGAACTTCTCTAGGCGCTGCGAGAGGTGGTAGGCTATCGACATGCCGGCCGCGCCGGCGCCGACAAGGAGAACGCGCTTGTGCCGCAGGGGCCATGTGTCTGCTGCCGGACGGGTGTTTGCGACTTCTTCGTTCGATGGCGCGGGCGTAGATACTGCTTGTAAGTAATTCACTGGGGACACATTACGATTTGGGACCGCTGGGATTCTCATGCATTCGGTCTGGCCTATGTGGGCATCACCTACAATGGGGGACATCGCGCTTACCTAGGGCTATAAATTGTTTCCAAAAAAATTCAGGTCTTTGTGCTTGTGTATCGTCGTGGGTGCTACATTGCCTTGAAAGACGTCGTCGATCTGGAAGTGTTAGTTAAGCATTTCAGCGCACCACGGGCAGAGTAGCGCGACGCCCACCTTAGGATCATATCAGATCTAGACCCAGAAGACGGAAAGGTATGAGCTACACTAAGCATCCTAACATGTCATCATCTTCTGAGCACTTGATGCAAGAGAATGGCCGCTTGTTTATTACATCTTCAAATCTATGGAATGATCAAGTCTTCAGAGTTAAGCCTGCACACCTTAGGTGAACAGCTTCCAACCACCAGGCACGCCCTTCTGGAACAGGCCTTTTGGGTCATACTTCTTGCTCGCCTCTTGCAGGAGCTTCTTATTCTTGCTCCCGTACGACCCAATGACGTCCTGATCTTCTGATGCATAGTTCATATACACATAGTCGACCTTCGTACCCTTCGAAGCGGCATCTTGGTCAATCCCCTGGAGGGCAATCTTCATTGCGCCCAAGATGGTGCCATCATCACTCGCATTCGACCAATAGGTGAGGAGAAGGAGGTTGACAAGAGAACCTGAGTTCGTGCCTTCTAGACCTAACACATCGCCGCCTTTGGATGCAGAGCTCTGTAGCAGGGACTCGGCGTATGGTTGAAAAGTTAGGGAGCAGATAAGACCTTCGGTAGCCTTAACAGGGTCTATAGCAGCTGTATAAATGTTAACAGCTGCCTGTAGTGTCGCTATGTCCGCTTTGACTGTTGCGTTCATATAGGCAACCCTGTTGATCTCACGTTTAGTTACTTCCCAGGTTCAAAAGCTCAAGGGGAATGTATTTTGCAAGTGGATATGAATACGTCACTACATACCTTTTTGCAACTTGCTGGTCCCCAGCTTGCTCATTCGCAGCTTCAGTTACATTAGGGATGAGTCTAATGGTATTGAGTGCGTCGATTTGGGGCTGGACTGAAGTGAACGGCTCCAAAACCTCTGGCTTCTCAACTGCTTGTGTATAGTAGACCTGATTCTGGCACATGGGGTCTGGACCAAACGGAGCTGCGAACCCAATGCTGATCATTAGGTGTGTCTCTGGGGTGGCATTCGGCTTTTGGAGCTCAGTCACCAATGCCTGTATCTCGCTTGGGAAGCTCGGTGCGAAGTAGAATAGGCTGCCTCCATAGAGGGCCCCTTGCTTGAAAGTCCTTAGGTCGAAACGAGTTACGACGCCGAAGTTATTGCCACCACCTCGCAAAGCTTTCCAGAGATCGGGATGGTCGTTGGCGTTCGCGTTCACGATTTCTCCAGACGCAAGCACAATCTGGTAGTTAACGACCTGTTCATCATCTTCGGGTTAGCCTCGGTATGAGTTACTCAAGGGTTTGATGTGCGTCTATACATTGTCGGCTATGAAACCTTCTCTTGAAGAAAAGAACGAGAGGCCGCCTATAACACATTAGCATTGCCTTATTTTCACGATTATATGCTTCTGCACGATGAACACAATGGATGGTTATGCGCCTACCTTGCAATGCAAGCCCGCCGATGCCATTCCTCGCCGACCGCCCACCGGCAACCGACAGCCCTAGGGGGTCGAGCTTTTCGTAAACGGCACCCCAGCGCTCACCTGCGGCAATTGACACGGTGTCATCCTTAATATCGATGCCAGTGAGGAGGCTCAAATTGAGAGTGATGCCGCCTTGGATATTATTGCACCCTAGAGCGGGCTGCTGGCCAGCCCCGAAAATAGCAAAGGGGGCCTGGCCGCTCAGAGCGAATGGACTTATGGTTCGCACAAAGAT